CCGGTCCATGGGGACGAAGCTGGACGCGCAGGCGCGGGATCCACTGAGTTGGTCGCGAGCCTGGCGTGGTGCGCAGGCGTATTCCGGCGTGGTTCTGGCAGGACGTTGCGGACATGGCAGGCGTCGGAGTGGTTTCGCGGTTCCTCCGCGCGCGGCGCCTAGCGTTGTCCCGGGCGGTGAGTGGAAGCCACGGGAGGGCAGGTCGTGCCGGAGACCCGGGCCTAGATAGCCCCTGGCGGGGCCCGCAGAGCCTGCTCTGAGTCCTGCGACCCCTGTCCGTTCGGAGGGGCTGGGAAGGTTCTGGGCCGCGGAGCCCTGCGTTCCGGATGCACCGTGTCCCTGTGAAGGTAGCGACTCGCAGCGGCCCCGCGGAATCCCTGGCCCGCTCGGCCGGAGCCTGGAAGCACGCTCGCCAAGGTCACGGGCGGGAAGGGCTGGGCTGGCGGGGCGCAAGTGAGGAACCTGTGTTTGAGGATGTGGTGGCCTCGGTGGAGTTTCTAAAAACCAGGAGGCATACGCACGCTGACCGGTGGGGGAGCTGGACGCGTTTTGCGCTGGAGTTCCAGCTGGGCGTGGAGCCTTCGGCAGGGTGAAGGTCGGGCTTACCCTCCCAGAACCTTCGCTATCTGATGGTGACTGAATACGCCCTGCACATATTTAGCGTCTATCTTTTAGAATTTTATTTAAACAAACTGAATTCGAATGATTTTGTTACTTGGTTCTTTTAGGTGAACCGGCCCAGCCACCTGCCTAACAATTTGATTACTGAGTAGAAGTCCCGATAAGAGTCAAGGCATTGAAGAGTGCTGATTTGCGTTAGGCTCGCAATTATGACTGCAATTTTCTCTTTTTTGGAAAAGAGATGTTAACATTACGTTCAGTGAAATGTGAAAATTAGTTAACAGCCATCCTTAAACAGAAAACCTGTGGCCTCTTAACACGCTGCAGGAACCTGTTTCTTAGGATTTGACAGTAGATGGTTAAGGCTGGGATTGGAGCAGAATGGTGTGCCATTTCTCCCTGCTGGTGCCAGGTGACCCTGTGTACCAAGACTGGAATGGAAAAATTATAGCTCTATAGTGATAAAAACATCATGGTACTGGCAAAAAATCAGACTCAAAGATCAGTGGAACAGGATAGAAGATGCAGAAACAACTCCAAGCACAGCTACCATATCTTTGACAAAGGGGCCAAAAAACCTTCACTGGAAGAAAATAACTTCTTTAATATACAGTGCTGGGAAAACTGGCTTTCCACATGATATCTTTCACTATGCACTAAACTAAAATTGAAATGGATTGAAAATCTAAATATTAAAACAGAAACAACCTGCTAGAATTGGTAGAAGACATAGGCAAAGACTATGAACAAAACCTTGACAGCACAGGAAATATTACAAAGAATCAACTACTGGGATCACATTAAACTTTTGTACAGGAAAACAAGCCACCAACAGAGTGGGGAGACAGTCCACAGAATGGGAAAAAATTTATACCAGCTACTCCCCAAAGGACTAATATCTAGAATATATAAAGAACTAAAAAAAAAAAAATCAGAGTCCTCCAAATTTAAAGAAAATGGGCATCTGAAATGAATAGACACACTTCTAAGATGAAGAAGTACAACAAATACATATATGAAAAATTGTTTAACATCACTGATCATTTGTGAAACACAAGTCTGAGATTCCATCTCACTCCTAAAAGAGTGGATATTATCAAGAAATCAGTAACAAATGGTAGTGAGGCCATGGGGGGAAAGGAACTCTTTTTACATTATTGGTGGGAGTGTAAATTAGTACAACCTCTGTGGAAATCAGTATGCAGATTCTCAAAAAACTGAAACTAGATATTCCATTTGACCCAGCTAGTCTCCTTCTAGGTATCTTCTTGAAAGGATTAAAAGCATCATGCCAGAATGATATATGTATACCCATGTTTATAACAGCACAATTTATAACAGTTAAATCTTGTAAACAGCCCATATGCCCATCAATGGATAAATGAATAAAGAAAAAGTGATTTTTATATCCAGTATTACTGCTGACATTAAAAGGTACTACTCTGTCATAAAGAAGGAAGGATAAACTTGAAACATTTTTAGATAAATGGATGTATCTTGTGAAATAAATGAGACACAAGTTTAAGTACCTCATTGTTACTTTTGTGTGAGAAACTGAAAGGGTAAATGAGCAAAATAGAGGCTAGATATTAGAAGTAGGAAGAACATGTTCAAATGGGGAGGGGAGCAAGGGAGGGGGAAGGAAGAGAAAAGATTTTAAAGGAAAAGAGTGGAAGGAAAAAATGGAAACAAAGCTTTTATAAATGACGGGGACAAAGGGGGAATGGAGGGGAAGGGAATGGCAAAAAAAAAGTCAAAGTCAAGTTGTATAGGGAACTTGTACAAGATATAACTTGTACAAGTTCCCTATGATAAGTGTTATCATTATGTATGACAACTTTTAAAAATAAAACAGCCAAACCAAAAAAAATTCTATCTCTGAACTTGTAGGTGAAAATGAATTCTCTAGGGAGAATAAATAAGGTTCTAAGAACAAGAAGTCAGGGTGCATGAATCTTGTTCCTTTCCTCATGGCCTAGTAGTACCTTTTTCAACCTTTAATTTTATCAGCTGTTGGCTGCCAGCATTTAACCTGGGTTATCTTCATAGAGCTTCACAACTCCTTTGGTTACAAACCTGTAAATACAGTGGCAAGATAGAGATAGCAAAACTGAACTGCAAGTAAGTCCTCCAAAAATATGGTCTTGAGTTTTTAAGAAGTCTTTTTATCTGTGAAGATAGCTTTTCCTGTAGAAATTCTGTCCCCAGGCAGTGAATATTAGCATTTAATATTCACTTTTTCCTCTGAAGAACTAGAGTTATCCAAGGAACAAGAGAATTACATTAGCAGAAACAAAGACCTGAGAAATGTCAATAATTTTGATAAAGTCTGCGTAGAATGTTTTAAAATCTCATTTTAGTCAATCCTCTGGTTATTCTGTATTACAACTGCTTTCAAGTTCCTACTTTACTAGTTTGCCTTCCTTTTCATGACCCTAGTGATACAATTCAAAAACTGTAAAGTAGTTTAATCCAGAGTAAAATTAACACCAAGACCCTTAAGTGTATTGCTTGTTAACTATTCACTGCTGATGAAGTTTTAAACGTTAGGACAAATATACAAAATAATATTACAGGATAAGTCACTTCCTTTGAATAGATAGTTTTGAATGTTTTATGGTACATCTAGAGTTGCATTAGTAGTAATGTTTTGTTTCACTTTGGGATCATCATACCACCAGTGGCTTTTTCTTTTGCATTCTGTTTTACCAGGTTCATTTGAAAATTTGACAATTTTTATACATGAGTAGGATTTTAATATTAGTTTGGAGTCTCTCAGAATTTTAACCAAGGATCTTTAGGTAGTAAGGAAGTCAGTCTGCTGAACTTTACTTTCTCCTTGGGGTAAATGAGAATTCTCTGAGGTACACTTGTAGGCTGGTGAGCCCAGGCTTATAGCTCACAGCCTGTGGTTGATACCCCTATAACTTGTATTTTTTTTTTTTTTTTTTTTTTTTTGGTTTTTCTCCGGTACCAGGAACTGAACTCACGACCTTGCACTTGCCAGGCAGGCGCTTTGCCGCTGAGCTAAATATAACTTGTATTTTAAACATCCCTATTTAAAAAACAATAAGCATTACTTTTTAAATGAAAATAGGTACACATTTGTAAAAAGAAAAAAAGCAATAAATACAGAAAGCTTATAAATGAAAAGGAATAGACCACTGTGTCTAGCAGTGGGAACACACCTGAATAGTTTCACTGACCCCTGGTATTTACCACTATTTCTCTAGCCAATATTGAGGTTTTCAATTTTTTTCGTTTTCAGTTTTTATTAGTACATGCTTGTAGTACATAATGATCACATTGCTTATGGGGAGTGAATACATGTATATAACACATCTTAATTCCCTTTACTCATCCCTTCCCTCCATTTCTTGGTCCCTTTCACAGTTGCAAAAGATCTATCTCTTTACTTCCTATTATCTTTTATTTTGCCCTTCATTTATAACATGGGTTTCCTATATGAGAAAGCATGTGGTATTAAAGATTGTGTGTCTACAGGCCCGATGTGGTGGCTCATGCCTGTAATCCCAGCACTTGGGAGGCTGAGACAGGAGGATTGCTACAAGTTCGAGGCCAGCGTGGGCTACAAAGTGAGTTTGAGGCCAGCCTGAACTGCGGAGTGAGACCCTGTCTTAAAGAGACGAAAAAAAAAAAAAAATTACATGTCTGACTTTTTTCACTTATTGTGGGGGCATTTGCCAGAGGTATGTATGAGATGGATATGCAGAAAAAGGGACTTTTGGAGCCACACATCCAAAACCACCTGGAGTGCATGGTTAGAGATTGAAAGGTAGCCTACAGGGTTATAAGTCCAAGTAGGATGCAAATTCATTGCCTAAAAGAATGAATGCTCTGGCCCCCTCTTCCCCAAACTCCAATTTATCACTTAGATTGGCCCTAAAGTCAGTCATGTAAAAGACAACCATGACATCCCTCTGTCTTTCCTATCCCCTACATGAATTCCTGCACAGACATCCTTTTCTTGTCCTTTATCCTTGCTTCTTGGTTCTGTCAATGAAAAGCCACAGAAGCTTCAGTTTGAGGCTGTCTTTATGAGGGGGTCTCAGTTAAGGGAAGTCCATCTGGGCCTTTAGACATTGACTCTTGAGTAAATCTCTCATCCTTTGTACCCTGCCATGGTTGTACTGTGATAACTTAACATGGTCTCAGAGTGCATCCACTTTCTTACAAATGACTCAAGTTTTTCCTTCTTTATGGCAGAATAGTACTACTCCATTGTGTACTGTATAAATAGTATACTTTATCC